GAATGTGGGGTAAAGTAGAAATTGAAAGTGAACATAGAAAAAGAGTACAGGATGAGGGTATCAAAATGATTTAAAAAAGAAAAATTGAATATCAAATTGGGAGGAGAGTAGAAGAAGTGAATGTTTCAGATAACTTGGGGTTGACGTGTCGGGGGTTGGATTATGAAGGAGACGTTAATCATAAAAAGATTAGGGAAAAAATGGTGAGGTGCGTTAGTATATAGGAAACAAAAATGTATTATGAGGCAAAACGGAAGTATGAAAGAATATATACCAACACTCTTATATGGGTGTAAGCTTGTGTTGTGAAATGCAGCAGCGAGAGGGCGGTTGGGGGCAGGGAGTTGTCCTGTCAAGGGCAATGTGTGGTGAAAAAATATATCGGAAAATTCGAGTGGGGAAAATTGGGAAAAAGGGTGTGGAGCTAATAAAAGTATTAGTCAGAGGGCAGAAGAGGGGTTGTTGAGGTGGTTTGGTCATTTAGAGAGAAGGATCAAAGTAGAATGACATGGAAAGCATATGAATCTATAGGGGAAGGAAGGCGGGTAGGGTCGCCCTCGAAAGGGTTGGGAGAGAGAGGGTAAAGGAGGTTTTGTGGGCAAGGGGCTTGGACTTCCAGCAAGCGTGCGTGAACGTGTTAGATAGGAGTGAATGGAGACGAATGGTACTTGGGACCTGACGATCTGTTGGAGTGTGAGCAGGGTAATATTTAGTGAAGGGATTCAGGGAAACCGGTTATTTTCATATAGTCGGACTTGAGTCCTGGAAATGGGAAGTACAATGCCTGCACTTTAAAGGAGGGGTTTGGGATATTGGCAGTTTGGAGGGATATGTTGTGTATCTTTATATGTTATTTTTATATTTTTATTATCACACTGGCCGATTCCCACCAAGGCAGGGTGGCCCGAAAAAGAAAAACTTTCACCATCATTCACTCCATCACTGTCTTGCCAGAAGGGTGCTTTACACTACAGTTTTTAAACTGCAACATTAACACCCCTCCTTCAGAGTGTAGGCACTGTACTTCCCATCTCCAGGACTCAACCCGGCCTGCCGGTTTCCTGAACCCTTCATAAATGTTACTTTGCTCACACTCCAACAGCACGTCAAGTATTAAAAACCATTTGTCTCCATTCACTCCTATCAAACACGCTCACGTATGCCTGCTGGAAGTCCAAGCCCCTCGCACACAAAACCTCCTTTCCCCCCTCTCTTCAACCTTTCCTGGGCCCGACCCCTACCCCGCCTTCCTTCCACTACAGACTGATACACTCTTGAAGTCATTCTGTTTCGCTCCATTCTCTCTACATGTCCGAACCACCTCAACAACCCTTCCTCAGCCTCTGGACAACGTTTTGGTAATCCCGCACCTCCTCCTAACTTCCAAACTACAAATTCTCTGCATTATATTCACACCACACATTGCCCTCAGACATGACATCTCCACTGCCTCCAGCCCTTTTCCTCGCTGCAAAAATTCATCACCCCTGCCTCACACCCATATAAGAGCGTTGGTAAAAACTATACTCTCATACATTCCCCTCTTTGCCTCCCAAGGACAAAGTTCTTTGTCTCCCCAACTCCTAAGTGCCAAACCCCTCACTCTTTTCCCCCATCAAATTTTATGATTCACCTCATCTTTCATAGACCCATCCCCTGACACGTTTCCCCTCCCAAATATCTGAATACATTCACCTCCTCCATACTCTCTCCCTCCAATCTGTATTCAATCTTTTATCACCTAATCTTTTGTTATCCCATAACCTTACTCTTTCCTGTATTTACCTTATTTAAATTTTTTTCTTTTGCACACCCTACCAAATTCATCCACCAATCTCTGCAACTTCTCTTCAGAATCTCCCAAAAGCACAGTGTCATCAGCAAAGAGCAGCTGTGACAACTCCCACTTTGTGTGTGATTCTTTACTTTTAACTCCACGCCTCTTGCCAAGACCCTCGCATTTACTTCTCTTACAACCCCATCTAATAAATATATTAAACAACACGGGGACATCACACATCCTTGTCTAAGGCCTACTTTTACTGGGAAAAAATTTCCCTCTTTCCTACATACTCTAACTTGAGCCTCACTATCCTCCCTTTAAAAAATCTTCACTGCTTTCAGTAAACCTACCTCCTACACTATACACTTGCAACATCTGCCCCATTGTGTCCCTATCCACCTGTCAATGCCTTTTCCAAATCCATAAATCCACAAAGACCTCTTTAGCCTTATCTAAATACTGTTCCACTTACAAAGTTTCACTTAAACACTGGTCCACACACCCCTACCTTTCCTAAAGCCTCCTTGTTCATCTGCTATCCTATTCTCCGTCTTACTCTTAATTCTTTCAATAATAACTCTACCATACACTTTACCAGGTATACTCAGCAGACTTTTTTTTTTTTTTTTTTCAACAAGTCGGCCGTCTCCCACCGAGGCAGGGTGACCCAAAAAAGAAAGAAAACAATTTTCTTCTTATTCTTTTTAGTAATCTTTACAGGAAAAGGGGTTACTAGCCCATTGTTCCCGGCATTTTAGTTGACTTTTACAACACGCATGGCTTACGGAGGAAAGATTCTTATTCCACTTCCCCATGGATATAAAAGGAAAAGTAATAAGACCAAGAACTATTAAGATAAAATCAAAGAAAACTCAGATGAGTGTGTATAAATAAATGTGTACATGTATGTGTAGTGTGACCTAAGTGTAAGTAGAAGTAGCAAAACATGCCTGTAATCTTGCATATTTATGAGACAGACAAAAGACATCAGCAATCCTACCATCATGTAAAACAATCACAGGCTTTCGTTTTACACTCACTTGGCAGGACGGTAGTACCTCCCTGGATGGTTGCTGTCTACCAACCTACTACCTACACTCAGCAGACTTATCCCCCTATAATTTTTGCACTCTCTTTTATCCCCTTTGCCTTTATACAAAGGAACTATGCATGCTCTCTGCCAATCCCTAGGTACCGTACCCTCTTTCATACATTTATTAAATAATTGCACCAACCACTCCAAAACTATATCCCCACCTGCTTTTAACATTTCTATCTTTATCCCATCAATCCCGGCTGCCTTACCCCCTTTCATTTTACCTACTGCCTCACGAACTTCCCCCACACTCACAACTGGCTCTTCCTTACTCCTACAAGATGTTATTCCTTCTTGTCCTATACACAAAATCACAGCTTCCCTATCTTCATCAACATTTAACAATTCTTCAAAATATTCCCTCCATCTTCCCAATACCTCTAACTCTCCATTTAATAACTCTCCTCTCCTATTTTTAACTGACAAATCCATTTGTTCTCTAGGCTTTCTTAACTTGTTAATCTCACTCCAAAACTTTTTCTTATTTTCAACAAAATTTGTTGATAACATCTCGCCCACTCTCTCATTTGCTCTCTTTTTACATTGCTTCATCTTTATATGTATATGCTTCTAAACTGTTGTATTCTGAGCACCTCTGCAAAAACAGTGATAATGTGTGAGTGTGGTGAAAGTGTTGAATGATGATGAAAGTATTTTCTTTTTGGGGATTTTCTTTCTTTTTTGGGTCACCCTGCCTCGGTGGGAGACGGCCGACTTGTTGAAAAAAAGAAAAAACAAAATAATTATAACCTTCTGGACCAGTAAGCCAGTGGAAAGCCTCAGTCAGATGACCAAAGATCTAGCTGTGGGTCATTGTGTGACTAAGATCTGTGTCAGGAAACACTTATCCTGTGTCCTGACACACCTTCGCTAACCTAACCTAATGCTCAGTGATAATGAAAACAGTCTGTAGGGAAGGTATGAATATTTGACAGTTTGTGGAAATTCATGTACCAGGAGAGGGCTTTGCACTAAATTTCTAGAGTGGTTTAAATGCTAACATGTAAATTTACTTCAGGTAAGACAGTGAGTGATTGAATGATGGTGGTGGTTGAGGTAAAAATTGTTGAAATAATTTGCTAATGTTATGTAATCTCTCTTGAGGGAATTTTCTGACTCTCCTTAGTGAAGCATTGCCTTAATGAATGTTTTCTCAGTTTTATTTTTTTCATTCACATGGTAAAAATAAACACAAATGTAGTATAAAGTGATCCTCTATTGACTATGTTTCACCCACACACTGGCCATTATCAAGTCACAGATTGCATCGGTATTATACCATTAATCTTTTCATTAACATGTCGGCTTGCTTGCTCTCTCTTCCACCTGACATTTTCTGATTAGTTTTTCATGAGGAACACACTCAAGAGTTTTTTGTTATTTTTAAATCTGAATAAAATCAGTATGCCCATATTTTTTTTAAATTTCTTTGACTTATAGTAGGTAATAGGTTTAATATGCTGGGATTTACAAGGGATGACTGTGGTGTTCCTTCAGGCTAATGTTCCTCTGGTAAATTGGAGGACAGATTGGCCAAGGTAAGAGGATAAAAGGGGCTTCGAGGGAAAAGACTCGTACTTCTCCATAAGTCAGCCCTATCAGCCGGGCTGTGGTTCGTGCGCTGGATTATGTGTAGCCAGCAGCAACAGCTTTTTGATCAGGCCCTGATCCACTGGGAGGCCTGGTCAAGGACTGGGCCTTGGGGGCACTTCGGTCTTCATAGGTCATGTACAGGAGGGCCCCACTTGTACAGCAGGCTAGGTTCTGGGCTACTGCTGTAAAGCAAAAATCACTGTAAAGTGAAACATGGCCTTTTTTCACTTTCAAATGCATAAAAAAGTCTGGTAACATGCTTCCACTATCATATATTAAGTGATCAATAGAGCCAGGCCTTTAAAATGCATACACAGTACACACATTACTTACCTTAAAATATTTTTATCCTTAGCTATAGTGGGTAGTGAATATGTTTATTGCAGGAAGTCTGAATAAATGAAGAATGGGTATAATTGAAAACTGCTGCATTAACAAAAATGCTGTAAAGGAAAGCACTGTAAAGCGGGGTCCTCCTGTACATTTCTTTTTCCATATTTTCATAATAATACCATCAGTATTTAACAGATGTCTGTTTTCAGGAAGTGATCATTATGGCAATGCATTGTGAGAGCTGTGGTCATCGTACCAATGAGGTGAAGAGTGGCACTGGTGTGTCTGACTTGGGAAAGAGGATCACTCTCAAAATAACTGACCCTACTGATTTGGCTCGTGATGTGCTGAAGAGTGAAACTTGTGAACTGAGCATCCCTGAACTCGACTTCTGCGTCGGAGGTGGACTAATAGGTGGAAAGTACGTGCTGTTTTACTGTTACTCAGTTTGTGTAGAGGAAGTCCTTAACTTACGAGCACACTGGGGACCTCTTGAATTGTGTATAATATTCAGGTGGCTAGTAACCTCTTCTGTATTTTTATTATTTTTTTATTATTATCACACTGGCCGATTCCCACCAAGGCAGGGTGGCCCGAAAAAGAAAAACTTTCACCATCATTCACTCCATCACTGTCTTGCCAGAAGGGTGCTTTATACTACAGTTTTTAAACTGCAACATTTACACCCCTCCTTCTGTATACATTACTAAATTTAAAAAGAGACTTATGTTTTTCTTTTTAGGTCACCCTGCCTTTGTGGGATACAACCAATATGTTGGATGATAATGATTCATAATACAGGAAATTTTCAGTTAAAAACACATTGGGGACCTTCTGTATTGTGTATAATAATGATATAGACCAATACAGAAGATTTTCAGTGTGTTTATAAGCCAAGGACTTACTGTATTTAAAACTAAATCTTGCTCAACCCTGTCTGTTATCAGGCTGTTTTGTTACACTTCAGTTGTCACTCACAAAATCGTAATAACACAATTGCAAACAAACCAGGGAACAGATGGGGTTTGAATCCTTGATAAATGGGTTCAAAACCTTCCCGTTCCCTGGTGTGGTTGTTTTTTTACTTCGATTGTATCTGTAACAATTTTTTTTTTTTTATTTTTATTATCACACCGGCCGATTCCCACCAAGGCAGGGTGGCCCGAAAAAGAAAAACTTTCACCATCATTCACTCCATCACTGTCTTGCCAGAAGGGTGCTTTACACTACAGTTTTTAAACTGCAACATTAACACCCCTCCTTCAGAGTGCAGGCACTGTACTTCCCATCTCCAGGACTCAAGTCCGGCCTGCCGGTTTCCCTGAATCCCTTCATAAATGTTACTTTGCTCACACTCCAACAGCACGTCAAGTATTAAAAACCATTTGTCTCCATTCACTCCTATCAAACACGCTCACGCATGCCTGCTGGAAGTCCAAGCCCCTCGCACACAAAACCTCCTTTACCCCCTCCCTCCAACCCTTCCTAGGCCGACCCCTACCCCGCCTTCCTTCCACTACAGACTGATACACTCTTGAAGTCATTCTGTTTCGCTCCATTCTCTCTACATGTCCGAACCACCTCAACAACCCTTCCTCAGCCCTCTGGACAACAGTTTTGGTAATCCCGCACCTCCTCCTAACTTCCAAACTACGAATTCTCTGCATTATATTCACACCACACATTGCCCTCAGACATGACATCTCCACTGCCTCCAGCCTTCTCCTCGCTGCAACATTCATCACCCACGCTTCACACCCATATAAGAGCGTTGGTAAAACTATACTCTCATACATTCCCCTCTTTGCCTCCAAGGACAAAGTTCTTTGTCTCCACAGACTCCTAAGTGCACCACTCACTCTTTTTCCCTCATCAATTCTATGATTCACCTCATCTTTCATAGACCCATCCGCTGACACGTCCACTCCCAAATATCTGAATACATTCACCTCCTCCATACTCTCTCCTCTCCTCAATCTGATATTCAATCTTTCATCACCTAATCTTTTTGTTATCCTCATAACCTTACTCTTTCCTGTATTCACCTTTAATTTTCTTCTTTTGCACACCCTACCAAATTCATCCACCAATCTCTGCAACTTCTCTTCAGAATCTCCCAAGAGCACAGTGTCATCAGCAAAGAGCAGCTGTGACAACTCCCACTTTGTGTGTGATTCTTTATCTTTTAACTCCACGCCTCTTGCCAAGACCCTCGCATTTACTTCTCTTACAACCCCATCTATAAATATATTAAACAACCACGGTGACATCACACATCCTTGTCTAAGGCCTACTTTTACTGGGAAAAAATTTCCTTCTTTCCTACATACTCTAACTTGAGCCTCACTATCCTCGTAAAAACTCTTCACTGCTTTCAGTAACCTACCTCCTACACCATACACTTGCAACATCTGCCACATTGCCCCCTATCCACCCTGTCATATGCCTTTTCCAAATCCATAAATGCACAAAGACCTCTTTAAGCCTTATCTAAATACTGTTCACTTATATGTTTCACTGTAAACACCTGGTCCACACACCCCCTACCTTTCCTAAAGCCTCCTTGTTCATCTGCTATCCTATTCTCCGTCTTACTCTTAATTCTTTCAATTATAACTCTACCATACACTTTACCAGGTACACTCAACAGACTTATCCCCTATAATTTTTGCACTCTCTTTTATCCCCTTTGCCTTTATACAAAGGAACTATGCATGCTCTCTGCCAATCCCTAGGTACCTTACCCTCTTCCATACATTTATTAAATAATTGCACCAACCACTCCAAAACTATATCCCCACCTGCTTTTAACATTTCTATCTTTATCCCATCAATCCCGGCTGCCTTACCCCCTTTCATTTTGCCTACTGCCTCACGAACTTCCCCCACACTCACAACTGGCTCTTCCTCACTCCTACAAGATGTTATTCCTCCTTGCCCTATACACGAAATCACAGCTTCCCTATCTTCATCAACATTTAACAATTCCTCAAAATATTCCTTCCATCTTCCCAATACCTCTAACTCTCCATTTAATAACTCTCCTCTCCTATTTTTAACTGACAAATCCATTTGTTCTCTAGGCTTTCTTAACTTGTTAATCTCACTCCAAAACTTTTTCTTATTTTCAACAAAATTTGTTGATAACATCTCACCCACTCTCTCATTTGCTCTCTTTTTACATTGCTTCACCACTCTCTTAACTTCTCTCTTTTTCTCCATATACTCTTCCCTCCTTGCATCACTTCTACTTTGTAAAAACTTCTCATATGCTAACTTTTTCTCCCTTACTACTCTCTTTACATCATCATTCCACCAATCGCTCCTCTTCCCTCCTGCACCCACTTTCCTGTAACCACAAACTTCTGCTGAACACTCTAACACTACATTTTTAAACCTACCCCATACCTCTTCGACCCCATTGCCTATGCTCTCATTAGCCCATCTATCCTCCAATAGCTGTTTATATCTTACCCTAACTGCCTCCTCTTTTAGTTTTATAAACCTTCACCTCTCTCTTCCCTGATGCTTCTATTCTCCTTGTATCCCATCTACCTTTTACTCTCAGTGTAGCTACAACTAGAAAGTGATCTGATATATCTGTGGCCCCTCTATAAACATGTACATCCTGAAGTCTACTCAACAGTCTTTTATCTACCAATACATAATCCAACAAACTACTGTCATTTCGCCCTACATCATATCGTGTATACTTATTTATCCTCTTTTTCTTAAAATATGTATTACCTATAACTAAACCCCTTTCTATACAAAGTTCAATCAAAGGGCTCCCATTATCATTTACACCTGGCACCCCAAACTTACCTACCACACCCTCTCTAAAAGTTTCTCCTACTTTAGCATTCAAGTCCCCTACCACAATTACTCTCTCACTTGGTTCAAAGGCTCCTATACATTCACTTAACATCTCCCAAAATCTCTCTCTCTCCTCTGCATTCCTCTCTTCTCCAGGTGCATACACGCTTATTATGACCCACTTCTCGCATCCAACCTTGACTTTAATCCACATAATTCTTGAATTTACACATTCATATTCTCTTTCTTCTCCTTCCATAACTGATCATTTAACATTACTGCTACCCCTTCCTTTGCTCTAACTCTCTCAGATACTCCAGATTTAATCCCATTTATTTCCCCCCACTGAAACTCTCCTACCCCCTTCAGCTTGTTTCGCTTAGGGCCAGGACATCCAACTTCTTTTCATTCATAACATCAGCAATCATCTGTTTCTTGTCATCTGCACTACATCCACGCACATTTAAGCAACCCAGTTTTATAAAGTTTTTCTTCTTCTCTTTTTAGTAATTGTATACAGGAGAAGGGGTTACTAGCCCATTGCTCCCGGCATTTTAGTCGCCTCATACGACACGCATGGCTTACGGAGGAAAGATTCTTTTCCACTTCCCCATGGACAATAGAAGAAATAAAAAAGAACAAGAGCTATTTAGAAAAAGGAGAAAAACCTAGATGTATGTATATATATATATGCATGTGCGTGTCTGTGAAGTGTGACCAAAGTGTAAGTAGGAGTAGCAAGATATCCCTGTTATCTTAGCGTGTTTATGAGACAGAAAAAGAAACCAGCAATCCTACCATCATGCAAAACAGTTACAGGTTTTTGTTTCACAGTCATCTGGCAGGACGGTAGTACTTCCCTGGGTGGTTGCTGTCTACCAACCTACTACCTACTGTAACAATTTTGTCTTCTCTAAAGCATGGGTATTGATGTTGATGATAGGGGTAGTGGATTTTTGAGTCTTCTAAAATAATTGTAATGAATAGTAGAGATTTTTTTTATACATTACCTCAGCATGTTATTGGAATAGCAAAATTTGAGACTATGAATTACTAAAGTGTAATTAACACTTGTCAGTGCTTAATAATAACCCACATGGAGACAGAAACTCAGGAGATTAATTGATCTGTATATTTTAACCCTCTTCTGGGGTCCTCTTCAGCAGATATGCTGAAGAGGATCCTAGACGGGGGTTGAAATATATTGATCAATTAATCTCCTGAGTATGTCTCCATGTGGGTTATTTTTGAGCTTTGAGACTGTGTTTAGTACAGTAATACAAAAAATCTTTCAGAGCTGTTATTGAATGGTAGGGAGTAATATTGCCAAGGTACAGAAAGATTATTTTTGTAAAAGTGAATATGGCAGTATAATTGATTATTCTTTCCAAATTTTTTCTAACAAACTGGCTGTATCTCACTGAGGCAGGGTGACCTAAAGAAGAAAAATTCAAAATTTTCTTGTTAAATTTAATAATTTATATGAGAGAAGGGGTTACTAACCCCTTGCTCTCATCATCTTTTATTATTGATGTTCATTTCATGTTTAACAAAACAATCCCTTATAGGTTTACAACACTGGAGGGGCTGCTGATGAACATCCGAGAAGACTTGGACTCTAATCCTTTTCTTATGGGGGACTCCATTGAGAAGAACCGTAAAGTTATAGTTGACAAACTTCTGGATGACTTAGAGATGGTAAGTGAATGGGGAGACTTAATGAACTTCATAAATCTGAAAAATTATTGCACTGAAACTAGCCAACCCATCACAAAATGTTCTTTCTCATACTCCAACAGCTTGTCAAGCCCCAAAAACCATCTGCCTCCACTCCTGTCTACAATGCTTATACATGCCTGCTGAATGTCCAAGCCCCTTGTAAACAAAACCTCCTTTATCCCCCTCCCTCCAATCTTTTCTAGGGTGACCCCTAACATCCCTTCCCTCCACTGCAGACTGATACACCTCTCTTGTCATCCTATTTTTTCTCCATACTCTCTAAATGCCCAAACCACTTCAACAACCCTTCCTCAGCCCTTGGGATAATGCTTTTAATAACTCTGCCCCTCCTAATCTCCAAAGCAGAAGTGTTATAAGAAGAGTAGAGTATATGGAGAGTAAAAGAAAGGTAAAGAGAGTGATGAGAGTGCAAAAGGAGAGTAGATGATAGAGTGGGAGAGGCACTGTCAAGAAATTTTAATGAAAATAAGAAAAAATTTTAAAGGGAGTTAAGTTAAGAAAGCCTAGAGAACGATTAGATTTGACAGTTAAAAACAGAGTAGGGGAGATGGAGGTTTTGGGTAGATGGCGAGAATATTTTGAGGAACTTTTAAATGTCGACGAAGGAAGGGAAGCGGTAATTTCATGAACTGGCCAGGGAGGTATACCATCTTTTAGGAGTGAAGAAGAACAGGATGTGAGTGTGGGAGAGGTGCATGAGGCATTACGTAGAATGAAAGGTAGCAGCTGGAACTGACGGGATCATGACAGAAATGTTAAAAGCAGGGGGGGATATAGTGTTGGAGTGGTTGGAATTTTTGTTTAATAAATGTATGAAAGAGGGGAAGGTACCTAGGGATTGGCAGAGAGCATGTATAGTCCCTTTTATATAAAGGGAAGGGGGACAAAAGAGATTGTAAAAATTATAGAGGAATAAATTTACTGAGTAAACCAGGAAAAGTGTCCGGTAGGGTTATTATTGAAAGAATTAGAGGTAGACAGAAAGTAGGATTGCGGATGAGTAAGGAGGTTTCAGAGTGGGTAGGGGATGTGTAGATCAAGTGTTTACATTGAAGCATATATGTGAACAGTATTTAGATAAAGGTAGGGAAGTTTTTATTGCATTTATGGATTTAGAAAAGGCATATGATAGTGGATAGGGGAGCAATGTTGCAAGTATATGGATTAGGTGGTAAGTTACTAAATGCTGTAAAGAGTTTTTATGAGGATAGTGAGGCTCAGGTTAGGGTGTGTAGAAGAGAGGGAGACTGCTTCCCGGTAAAAGTAGGTCTGACAGGGATGTGTAATGTCACCATGGTTGTTTAATATATTTATAGATGGGGTTGTAAAAGAAGTAAATGCTAGAGTGTTTGGGAGAGGGGTGGGATTAAATTATGGGGAATCAAATACAAAATGGGAATTGACACAGTTGATTTTTGCTGATGATACTGTGCTTATGGGAGATTCTAAAGAAAAATTGCAAAGGTTAGTGGATGAGTTTGGGAGTGTGTGTAAAGGTAGAAAGTTGAAGTTGAACATAGAAAATTGTAAGGTGATGAGGGTATCAAATGATTTAGATAAAGAAAAATTGGATATCAAATTGGGGAGGAGGAGTATGGAAGAAGTGAATGTTTTCAGATACTTGGGAGTTGATGTGTCAGCGGATGGATTTATGAAGGATGAGGTTAATCATAGAATTGATTAGGGAAAAAAGGTGAGTGGTGCGTTGAGGTATATGAGGAAACTAAAACGTTATCTATGGAGGCAAAGAAGGGAATGTATGAAAGAATAGTAGTACCAACACTCTTATATGGGTGTGAAGCTTGCGTTGTGAATGCAGCAGCGAGGAGGCGGTTGGAGGCAGTGGAGATGTCCTGTCTAAGGGCAATGTGTGGGGTAAATATTATGCAGAAAATTCAGAGTGTGGAAATTAGGAGAAGGTGTGGAGTTAATAAAAGTATTAGTCAGAGGGCTGAAGAGAGGTTGTTGAGGTGGTCTGGTCATTTAGAGAGAATGGATCAAAGTAGAATGACATGGAGAGCGTTTAAATCTGTAGGGAAAGGAAGGCGGGGTAGGGGTCATCCTCGAAAAGGTTGGAAGGAAGGGGTAAGGGAGGTTTTGCGGGCGAGGGGATTGGACTTCCAGCAGGCATGTATAAGCGTGTTTGATAGGAGTGAATGGAGACGAATGGTATTTGGGACCTGATGATCTGTTGGACTGTGAGCAGGGTAATATTTAGTGAAGGGATTCAGGGAAACCGGCCATTTTCATATAGTCGGACTTGAGTCCTGGAAATGGGAAGTACAATGCCTGCACTCTAAAGGAGGGGTTTCAAGATATTAGCAGTTTGGAGGGATATGTTGTGTATCTTCATACGTATATGCTTCTAAACTGTTGTGTTCTGAGCACCTCTGCAAAAGCAGTGATTATGTGTGAGTGAGGTGAAAGTGTTGAATGATGATGAAAGTATTTTCTTTTTGGGGATTTTCTTTCTTTTTGGGTCACCCTGCCTTAGTGGGAGACGGCCGACTTGTTAAAAAAAAAAAAAAAAATTGCCCTCAGTTGTGACATCTCTACTGCCTCCAGCTTCCATGCTGCAACATTCACAATCCATTCTTCACACCCATATTAGAGTGTTGGTATCACTATACTGTCATACATTTCTCTCTGCACATTCACTACCTCCATACTCCCACGGTGACAACTCACTTTGTATTAGATTGTGCATTCTACACATTTGAAATCTCACACCTTTCCCCACCACCCCAGCTCTCACTTCTTTTACAGTCCCTCCCATCTATAAATTTACTGAACAACCATGGTGACATCATACATCCCTGTCTAAGGCCTACTTTTACTGGAAAATATTCTCCCTCTCTCCTACATACCCTAACCTGAGTCTTTCAATCCTCTTAAAAAAATTTTAAGTGCTTTCAGTAACCTACCATCTATTCCATACACTTACATCTTCCACATTGCTTCCCTATCCACTCTGTCATATGCCTTGTCTAAATACATGAATGCGATGAAAAGTTCCTTACCTTTATGTAAATATTGTTCACTTAATGTGATTCAGTGTAAACACTTGGTCTACACATTTCCTATCCTTCCTGCAGCCTCCTTGTTCATCTTGATCCAGCTCTCCATCTACCCATAATTCTTTCAAAAATAACTCTTCTATTCACTTTACCTTTTATACTCAACTGGCATATTCCCCTATAATTTTTACACTCTTTTGTCCTTGTCCCCCTTTCCTTTATACTGAGGAACTATGCATCATTGTTTTTTTGTATTTTTAATAGTCATATTGAATATTTACATTTTTTATATTCATTATTTATATCCAAAGTAAAAAATGGTTGATGTTACTTTGAGTAAATATTTGTTTAAAATATTTTTGACTATAATGTAGATTAATTTTTGTTCAGGATAATTCCTAAACATTCCACTGAGGAAATTTTTTTCCAAGTATTCATCAAATGTTTGTGTGTATTGCAATGTTTATTAATTCTATTTGTTGCTGGGACTAGTTGAAGGTGGGTCTAGTTGTTGGTTTACTCATTCATTTATGATTTGCCGGTACTTCTGGCCCGGGTCTTCTCCAAATGGCGACTCGGCGGTTGGTTTACTAAAAGTCATGTTGGGGGTATGCTGTTGAAGTTAGGGAAGTTAAATCATCGTTAAAAAAAGAAAATTAACACACTGGCTATGTGTTAATTGTTAAGGAAAGCACAGATAGGTAATGTCAGGTGTTTAAAATATTTCAGTATGGTGTGTTTTTTATTGAAGCTGTTTATAACTTCCTACATGTTGTGATACTTGGTCATTAATCCAGTAATAAAAATTTTCTTTGAATCCACAGGTTATAAAGGGCAACCTTATGGTTACGTTCATCATGGATGACCCAGCAGGGAACAGCTACCTCCAGAATGTTTATGCTCCAGATGACGATCCGGAGATGACAATTGAGGAGTATGAGCGCACATTTGAACAGAATGAAGAACTTGGACTCAATGATATGAAGACAGAGAATTATACAGATGACTCAACTTGTAATGATATATCTGAGCTCTCGTGATTTTTGCAGAAATGCGGTCATTTTCTAGAAGGGCTTTGCCTGGAAAAATGACTGCATATTTTATGTTGCAATGCATGGAAATAGAGTTTGAGAGTGGAAATAAAAGCTCTGACAGTTAAACTTGTCATATATTTATATATAAAGTTTACCTAAGTCCAAAGCATAGTTTCTATCAGCAAGCACTTGTATATTAAATTGAAAAGTGTTTGCCTGGTGACATTCCTAAGAGCTCTTAACCAGGCTCTGAATAAGGCATTATTGATGTCTACATCATGAGCCAGGCTCTTGCTACTTGTAGCCTGCCATCCAGCTTGCTTATCTCAAACCTGGCTGCTTATTGTGCCTGAAGACACTAAAATGCTCATTTCAAGTTCTCTTCTGATATGTCAGTAACACGAGGGCAAATTGAGTGAAGTTTGATATAGACTTGCTTTCTAAGCATAGGGGGAAGTGTAAACTGGAGTGGTGTAAAAACTATAAAAGGCTGAAACTGTTAAGCTTAAATTGGAATTCTTTGAATATTGGAACTTGTAGCATTCTTGTTCTTCTTTGTAGTTAATAAGCAAGAAAGAACATAAACTGTTACTCTTATTCTTGGACATGTATAAGCTATTGAAATTTAAAAGAACTGGTGAAGTTATTAGGAATGTGAAAAAATAAATAAATTTCTGTCTCTGTAATTATGAAGTGGAAACATTTTATTTTAGAAAACTTCAGCTGATGCTGCAAAAGCTTAGTTTTACAAATTTGGTTTTCCCAAATAGTGTATTTTTTTTTTTTAAAGTTATAATTAAAAGAGCATTGATAAAATGTATATGAATTATTTATGGAAGTTATAAAAGTTTTCTTAAACTTTTATATGAAATAAATTCTGATTATGAAAGTTATTATATTAATCATAAACTTTTCACAGCAACTCCTTCCTGTTAGGCTCACAGTGGCCTCATAATACCTTGTACGTGTATTTCTACCTCCAAAATATTAATACGATATCTGAACCAGCAGTTTTTAAACTTATGCCAGATAAACTCGGATTAAGTCATGATGAACGACTGTCGATGAATAAATTGAAAGATGGACAGGTCCCAAAATTGACAGGTTGAGTGCTGGACCTGTCAATTTAGGGACCACAGTTCAATCCTCCTGTCCATCTGTTTATTCGTATGCCAAATATTTACTTATGCTAGTTTGTCTTGTGTGAGTTTCCCACCCATTTGCAGAGAAACGTGTTCTCTGTGAATTGCATTTGTGAAGAGTGTAGTAGTGAGTGAAAGGACTGTGAGGCAGGAGTGAAGGCAGTAGACCATATGCTGGTGAAGGAGGGAATGGGGAATGGGTTAAATAATGGGTTTAGTGCTTTCTATTTATATTATTATGGGGTATCTCATTCTGCTTCATGATGCAAAAAGCAGTATTTGCAGTCCACAGACAGGTTGTATTATGCAATATACAGTAAATGTATTATGCAGCAATTATATGGATTTTCCTTGCTGCAATTTAGTAGGATGCTTTTTATGTGCACTATATAGAGGTTAATATACTGTTCTTAAGAATGCTAGTCATGCTACTGCAGTGTACACTGATGGTTTCAAACTCAATATGTAATTGGCTCAGCAACTGTTTTTCCAGAGTAATTCAAGAACATATACAAGAGTTGAAAAGCATTGTCACAGTGTAGTTTGTCTATAATACTTTCCGTGCGCATTGGAACTGTATCAGTCTTATTCATTGTTTCAAGATTTCCAAAGTGCATTACAAACTATCCAGAAATATGACTCCAATTCCCCTCATACCTGGTGGTGTGAAAATGGTTATGTAACATTTCTAGCAAGGACAAAGAAGTCCTTTTTTTTTTTTTCCTGATATTCAGGGAAACGAAAACTTGAGCCACTGTTCATGATCTGCCAGTCCTTTTTAGGGATGGTTCCTCTTGTTAGGTAAATGGACACATGCAATTAATGTGACATTTTACTGTGGTAACGTTTCGCTCTCCAGGAGCTTTGTTGAGCCCTCACAAACATTACAAATACTATGGCTTGACAAAGCTCCTGGAGAGTGAAACATTGCCATAAAATGTCACAATAGTTGCATCTTTGTCCATTTACCTAACATTTTGTTAGTAATTCTACCATTATTACTATGCTTCTTCTTGACTATTTTCCAGTACTATTTCAATGACAAAACCACTGGCAGTAGTGTTGCTTGGAAGTACATATAGGACAATTTGTTTTCTATCAGACTACAGTTTGGTCTTTGGATATCTTTTTTTTTCCCATCACTCTGAGATGTGGAGGGAAACTGCTTGCATGTTTGCAAATTGAAGAGGCATGTCACAAATACCACATGGACAGACATCTGGTACCTCATGAGGACAACCAGGTTACTAACAAGTTCATATAATAATACCGTATTTCATGGCTTACAGTTTTAGTGGCTCGGCATCGGATATAACTGGGAGAGCTACAGCCCACCCCACACCCCAGACTTATAGCTCCTGTCACTGACCTTCAGTTTATAGGATGCAGGGTGGCTTTTGGAGACATTTTATGGAAAAAAAAAATGCATCTAATAAGGTGCGAAATACGGTACTTAGTCTGTCAATCACTGAATGTGCAGAATTCATTTTTAACCTCTTCAGTACCTTATGTTCTCACTTTGACTGCCCTCCTCCCTGAAAGTCCCACCTTAGATGTGGACTCCCTTTTTTGACTAGCCTATTGCACCAAATATGATGTTAATTTCACACCCTTGCTATACCATTCATCTGTTAACTCCTGACCCTTACAAAACAATCCAACACTACACTGTGTGACCAATATAGGTTTAGTGCTTGTTTTTGAATATTATTTTGAATGTTAGTAAATCCAGTCTTGAAGAGATGGATAAAAATATTAAAAAAATATTAAATATTAAATTTTTTTTTTTTTTTCTCTCTCGACAAGTCGGTCGTCTCCCACCGAGGAGAAAATATCAGGAAAAAATATCAGTGAGCCGTCAAGACAATGAACAAGTGAAAGCAAGAGTTTTCATGGTCTGGTCACCCTACCTCAGGGGGAGATGGCTGAAGTGTTAAATTTTTTTTATGCGGTATACAAATACTATACAAATTTTATTTCTTTTGAAAGTAAATTGGTATTTACTGTCTTTATTAACTAACACCTTTACATTTTAATTAACAAAAAGTTTAACCATTAATTAAGTGCATTCTCTTGAAGAGGTTTTTAATAGGAAAAGGACTCCCCATAAATTGCGCTACATTATTACAATAGTTATGACGGTTACAAATTATGCAATGGACTAGTGATATAAAACAAGCTGCAGATAAATTAAGTTTGAATATTGGCTTCTTCCTGAAATGATGCACCTACAGGGTGTTCCAGGGGTCAACGCCCCTGCAGCCCAGTCCATGACCAGGCCTCCCAGTGGATCAACATACGTTTTGTAGATTACATATAGATAAGCAGATAGAATTGGAAGATTATATTAAATATTTAAGACAGTTGTCTGTTTGTGATAGTAATGGAGGTAATTTCATTACTCTACCAACAAGTGACTGGCAGTGTAAAGAATGTGATTGGCATTGTGAATGTGGTACTCATACAGCAAAAGGCACACTTCCTAATTTTTAATTATAAAGGAAAGGTACTTTCACATATAATTTGTCATGGTGGACTTAATTCAACAGGTATGTATTTGAGAGTGGTGAGTAAGACACTTGATTGCAGGTGTTAATAATCCATAATATGGAATTTATTGCCTGGTGTCGAGGAGACGTTTCATCTTCTAGGACCTACGTCTTCTCGATAAAGTGCCATAAAGCACAGTTTAATTAACACCTTTATTATGAACACTATATCCATCCTGTGGGCAATAAAACTGTGAATCGAGTCTTATTGATGTTCTTATTGGCATGTACCGTATTTTACGGTGAACGAGATGCTCTGGTGTTGAGGACACGCCCCCAATTGTGACTAGCCAAATTTTGGAAAAAAGATAAATGGTCTTTCAGCCTCCAAAATGTGTAAATTTTCAAGACATTTTGGGATAAAAATAGTATTTTCAATTTTGTAAAATACGGTAATGCCGTCGATATACACTGCAGAGAAGTCGTATTGTACAGCAAATCACACACACTTCCTTTATCAACGTCGATAAAGCCAATTTGTCGTGTAACATTGTACAATAATGACTCCTTTGCAATTGCTGTCCTGCCACACTGTCGGCAGTTCACCTATTTTAGAAACGAACTAGTAAAAAGTTTTATCTTAGAAGATCAGTGATTTGAAATGGTTACCCAGGAGGTTTACCGCGTACAATGTTGATACGTATATTTCATAATTGCTGCAAGGTTGTGACTAATGTTGCAGTAATTCTTTTGTGCGTACCATGTACATCATGTTCATTGCTTACTATGCTACTCATCAGTGCATTTATGTCAATAACATTTCCATGATATAATGTGTATTCACATCATCTATTTTATTCAACCAAGCATTAAAAATTATCGGAAATTATTTTATTCTTAATCCTGTTTCAATATTTTGATAATTACTGCAGTGTTGTACAATACTATTACTATTATATACTATTATTGCTAGTACTACACTTTACTACTACTACTACATTTACTAGTATACAGTGGACCCCCACATAACGATTACCTCCGAATGCGACCAATTATGTAAGTGTATTTATGTAAGGGCATTTGTACGTGTATGTTTGGGGGTCTGAAATGGACTAATCTACTTCACAATATTTCTTATGGGAATAAATTCGGTCAGTACTGGCACCTGAACATACTTACGGAGTGAAAAAATATCGTTAACCGGGGGTCCACTGTACTTATTACTACTACACTTATTACTACTACACTTATTACTACTACACTTATTACTACTACACTTATTACTACTACACTTATTACTGCTACACTTATTACTGCTACACTTATTACTGCTACACTTATTACTACTACACTTATTACTGCTACACTTATTACTGCTACACTTATTACTGCTACACTTATTACTACTACACTTATTACTACTACACTTATTACTACTACACTTAGTACTACTACACTTAGTACTACTACACTTATTACTACTACACTTACTGCTATTACTACTACACTTACTACTAATACTATTACACTTACTACTATTACTACTACACTTACTACTAATACTATTACACTTACTACTACTTTCTATACACTAAAACCCCTCATGGGAAGTTCCTTGATATCATTGATGGGCTCTTGTTCCAAGGTACAGAACTTTACCTCCCCATCTTTGGAATGAGCCTGACTGCCTCCCTAAAGAACGAAGTCACAATATCGTAACTGAAACAATACACAAATAACCCACACATAGGAGAGAGAAACTTAGGTTGAGGTCCCCTCAAGGAAGGTTCCTTGATGTTGGTGAGGGGCTCTTGATTTAGGGAATTGGATCTGTGCTCCAGTTCCCCGAATTAAGCCTGAATGCCTTCCACATCCCCCCCCACAGGCGCTGTATAATCCTCCAGGTTTAGCGCTTCCCCCTTGATTATAATAATAATAATAATTAGGTTGAGGTTTCAGTTTGACTTGTACTAATGACAAGATATATTGCTTCTCATTTGCCAGGCACTATGACCCCTATGGGTTTAGCAAACATGAGAAAGAAGGAGCATTGCAGGAGGCCTACTGGTCCATGCTAGGAAAGTCTGAGTCACCTGACCCATGTTAGGCAGGTCCAAGTCACCTACTAACCTGTGCTAGGCAGGTCCAAGTAATTACTGACCCATGCTAGGCAGGTCCAAGTTAGCTACTGACCCATGCTAGGCAGGTCCAAGTCACCTACTGGCCCATGCTAGGCAGGTCCAAGTCTCATCCCCCTTTTAATATGATTTGAATCAAAGTGTAACCACATAAGTCATGGGTTTTCAGATCACGACCCTTATGAGTTTTAATTATGATTATAATAATCTAACCAGTCTTGCAATTTCAGACCACAATCGGAAAAAACTTCCACCGCAATTAGAAAATAACGATAACAGCTTCGTTAAAATTTAATGAGTGAGAGGTGAGGGTTTTTTCTGATGGAAGGAGCTGGTGATGATGGTGCTAATATCACCTGTGTGGTTAATGAGACAGTTAACCATCACCCACCCCCAGGATCATCGTACTTCTTCACTTATATTCTGCCTGGGTCATTAAAATATTACTACTACTATTACTGCTACTGTCACTGCCACAACAACTAATAATCTGTAAAGTAAAAGGACACAAGTGCAACTAATGTGACATTTTATTGTTTACCTGGAGAGAGTTCCGGGGGTCAACGCCCCCGCAACGTTTCGCTCTCCAGGAGCTTTATCAAGCCATTACAGACAATACATGGACACAGAGTGTATATATAGGCTCAGAATGAGGTGCAATACTAGTGGTAGTAGTAGCAGTAGTAGTAGTGACAAAAGTTGTAGTAGTAGTGACAAGTTGTAGTAGTAGTAATACAATATGGTAGAGCAATTAATTCGTACATGAGTAAAAGGATATAAAAGCTATTACTTGGGTAACATAAAAATAGGTTGGACAAATATATAGACTGGAAAGAGGCAGCTTGTTTCAGTGTTCACTGTCTGTAATGTGCTTTGTGTAGTATAACAGAAGAGACTATGTGATGGCAGGGTTTACTGTTTTCAGGAGGATTCTTGCTAAGACTTTGGAGATGGTGAAGCTGCCGTTGTTTTGTTTAATTGTATTCAAAACAGCGATCAGTGCTGATTTGAGGCACTTGCGTCTGCGGAAATTAGTTTCTTTGATCACTAATTGGGCGTCTCTGAATTTCATGAGATGATTGGTGGAATTTCGGTGTTGTACACAGGCGTTGTCCTGAAGATTCCGTACATCAAAAAGTTTGGGAGTTATTACGAGGACGTCGTCCACGTAACGTAACCAAGTGACGCTTGAAGGGATGATGTTGGCGAAGTGTTCGGACTCTAGGTGTTCCACGTATAAGTTGGCTAGGACGGCACTGATGGGGGACCTCATTCCAATGCCGTAGGTTTGTTTGTAGAGCTTGTTATTGAAAGAAAAACAGTTGAAATTAACACAGAGTTCAATCAAGTCAACAAAATCTCCGGGAGGTAGAGGAAGATTAAGGTCCTGATTGACTTTACGTCGTAGAACCTCGATGGCTTTTGTGGTAGGTACTTTTGTGAAGAGGGAAGTCACGTCCAAACTGCTTAGTTTCTTGTTACGGATGGAGAGGTTTCGGATGCGGTTGAGAAGGTCGCCTGAGTGTTTAAGATGAGCGAGGTTGATGGTCCCCAGAAGGCAGGAAAGATGTTTGGCAAGAACTCCGGCTAGTTTGTGTGGAGCACTGCCTATTCCTGACGTGATTGGTCTGAGAGGAATATTGTGTTTATGGGTCTTGGGTAAACCATACATGTGTGCTGGTTTAGGGTTGCTTGGTAACAAGTACAGAAGTTTCTTCCCTTCTCTAGTGCGTTTGAGTATTTGTCTGGTTTTGTATAGAAAATCTTTGGTGAGCGTCTCCCACTGTTGAGTGCTGATGGGTTCGTATGTAGATTGATCATTCAAAAGGTCCATCATTTTAGTGTTGTAGTCACTGGTGTTGAGTATGACGACTCCAACTCCTTTGTCGGCGGTGGTGACGATAATGTTGGGGTCGTTGGCAAGGTCCTTAAGGGCAGTGATGTATCGTCTAGGAAGATTAGAAGAAGAAGGTTCACATAAAGCTGCAGTGAGAAGGCCCTGTATATAACCCTTCTGGAAGTTGCTGTCACTGTGTCTATGGTTCCTGGTAACTAGATTGAGTTGATAGTTAGGTTTGCGTATGTTGGTGGTAAATTTAAGTCCCAGACTCAGTGCTTGTTTCTCGTAGTCAGTTAAGGTGCGTGACGATAAGTTGTTTATCAGGGATTCGCGTCCCATTTCCTTCCATCTACTGTTAGTGCAGAGGTATTGAAGTTTGCGATTGAGTTTGATCTTCTGTTGGAGGTTAGCTGTGGTGACTGTGCTGAGAATATGCTCAGCAGTGTGTTGGTCAATCTGAAGATTGGCCCTCATATTCCTTGCAGTTTCAAAGGTTTCCTTAGCGATGTTAGAAAGTTCTTCGGCACATTCAGTTAAGTAAGCTTGGGTAGCTGGAGAGAAGGGGTGCTTGGAGTTGGAGAGTTGTGCAGGAGTAGACTTAGGGATCACCTTCTCTGCCAGGCAATCTTGTAGGAAGTTGTGTCTGTTGCGATAGCTGTGAGCACGAAGAAGGGTGTCCAAATAACGTCTGCATGAAATGTCCATTATGTTGCGGTGTCCGACAGATTGTAATAAAGTTGGTAGAATTACCGACAATATGTAAAGTAAAAGGACACAAGCGCATGGGACACTACGGCATGGGAATGGGGTCCCCCATCAGTGCCGTCCTAGCCAACTTGTACATGGAACACCTAGAGTCCGAACACTTCGCCAACATCATCCCTTCAAGCGTCACTTGGTTACGTTACGTGGACGACGTCCTCGTAATAACTCCCAAACGTTTTGATGTATGGAATCTTCAGGCAAGGCTCAACGCAGTTGAACCAGCGATCCAGTTTGCACTAGAAGAAGAGTCCAATGACAAGCTACCTTTCCTCGACGTCCTCATTCACAAAATAGACAACAACCTAAGATTTCAAGTTTATCGGAAACCTACCAATAAAAATGATCTCACACACTTCTATTCCAGTCAAGATACCAAGACCAAAAGAGGCATCATCATCGGATTTTTCCTAAGAGCATACCGAATTTGTAGTCCTGAGTTTCTTGACGAGGAATGTACATACATTCACCAAACATTCCCTGAGTTACATTTTCCTTCCCTTTTCATCAAAGACTGCAAGAAAAGAGCTCTTCAGATCATTAATTCTCCACGCACCAACACCACTCCCAACAAAGTTATAATTCTTCCCAACAGCCAGGTTGCACTGAACGTTTCTAAAGTACTTTCACAAGCTAACACCAGAGTCGCCATCGCTTCTAGCACTTCAATGAAGGATCTGACCAGGACAAAATCCAAGCACCACGAACCAGTCAACGCAGGAGTTTACACTATACCCTGTGGAGGCTGTGACAAGATTTACGTAGGTGAAACAGCAAGAAACCTCGACACCCGCCTCAATGAACACATTTACGCATGTAGGAACGATAACTTGAACAACGCCTGTGTACAACACCGAAATTCCACCAATCATCTCATGAAATTCAGAGACGCCCAATTAGTGATCAAATTATTATTATTATAATCAAGGGGAAGCGCTAAACCCGGAGGATTATACAGCGCCTGGGGGGGGGGGGATGTGGAAGGCATTCAGGCTTAATTCGGGGAACTGGAGCACAGATCCAATTTCCTAAATCAAGAGCCCCTCACCAACATCAAGGAACCTTCCTTGAGGGGGAGTGATCAAAGAAACTAATTTCCGCAGACGCAAGTGCCTCGAATCAGCACTGATCGCTGTTTCGAATACA